GAAACTATGATTAAGTCTATATAAAATATTGGTTCAGCTCATCTGTCATATCATATCCCGTTTAGAAAGAATATGATGGCATTAGAGATGCAGCAGAAAAGATTTATGAAAATGGTTCCTCAGATGAGGAGTTTCAGTGACGTTAAAATATTGGTGAAGTTCAGATGGTTCTACTTGGTGAAAGTTAAATGGAATCTTGACAGAGATGTCAAATCTCTTAAAATCATATCAGACACCACACAGTAACTCTGTTTCTCTCTTCGCTTATGCTGCCAGACCTGCTGAGTTTCTCAGCACATTCTGCTTTCTTTTATTCCAGATCACCAGCATTTGCCATGTTTTGCTTTTAACTCCCATTGAAGCATCATTGCATCCTGCTCACAAACCACATTTCCACTAAGTCTTGTGCCATCTGCAAACTTTGAAAAATTGCAATTGCACCCATCAGTCTGATATTGAGCCATTGGTTGCTCCTTTCAGTTTTCTTCCTGTTAACCAAACCTCAACCCACTCTAGTGTATTACCCCCAGTCCTGTGGTGGGGACTTCATGAAAAGCTTTCTGAAAATCCAAATCACCTCATCCCCTGGTTTGCTCTTGACTCTGCTAGTAACATCCTCACAAAATCCCGTGTTTGTCTAATCTCCATAAATCCATACTCACTTTTCCCAATCAGTGATTTTCTAAACATCTAATAATAATATGCTTTATGATAGATTTTACCAAGACCGACATCATGCTAACTGCTCTCCCTCCATCCTTTCACCATCCCCTCCCACCTTAAACCTATACCCTCTAGTTTTGGACACCCCTTCCCTGGGGAAAAGACGACGGCCCAGTAGTACTATCGCTGGATTGTTAATCCAGAGACTCAGATAATGTTCTGGGGACAGGGGTTCGAATCCTGCCATGGCAGATGGTAGAATTTGAATTCAATAAAATATCTGGAACCAAGAGTCTAATGATGACCATGAATCCATTATTGATAGTTGGAAAAACTCATGTGGTTCATGAATGTCCTTTAGGTAAGGAAACTACCATTCTTACTTGGTTTGGTCTACATGTGACTCCAGGCCCACAGCAATGTGGTTGACTTGTAACTGCCTTATGGGCAATTAGGGATAGGCAATAAATGCTGGCCTAGCCAGCGACAAACTCATCCCATTAATGAATAAAGAACCTTGCCTATTCAGTCTAACAATGCCCCTCATGATTTTATAAACCTCTGTAAGATCACCACTCAACTCCTGATGCTCCAGGGAAAATACCCCCAGCCTATTCAGCCTCTCCCTGTAGCTCAAATCCTCCAACCCTGGCAACATCCTTGTAAATTTTTTCTGAACCCTTTCAACTTCAACAATATCTTTCCTATAGCAGGGAGACCCGAATTGCACGCAATATTCCAATATTCCAAAAGTGGCCTAACCAATATCCTGTACAGTTGCAACATGACCTCCCAGCTCCTATACTCAATGCACTGACCAATAAAGGTAAGTGTACGAAATTCCTTCTTCACTATCCTGACTACCTGTGACTCCACTTTCAAGGAACTATGAACCTGGACTCCAAGGTTTCTTTGTTCAGCAACACTCCTCAGGATCTTACCATTTAGTGTATAAGTCCTGCCCTGATTTGCCTTCCCAAAATGCAGCACCTCACATTTATCTAAATTAAACTCCATCTGCCGCTCCTCGACCCATTGGCCCATCTGATCAAGGTCCTGTTGTACTCCAAGATAATCTTCCTCACTGTCCACTGCGCCACCAGGTTTTGGGTGTCATCTGCAAACTTACTAACCACACCTCCTATGTTCACATCCAAATCATTTTTATAAATTTTGCTTTCAGAAAGGCTGAAACTAAATTACAAGATGTTGGGACGCCGTATTTTGCGTGCAGTTTCTCACAACTCTGACACAAGGGACAATAATGATGAACTTCCAGTCTGTCAGCCCCGCAGCACGAGGAACATAGGGAGCTGGTGTCAAAGGCTGCATTTGTTACATGCATATTCACATGCAATTCACTGAACATTTAACCTCAGAATAAAGATGTGAAAACACTTTAAATCTTGGTGAAGTAGGAGGAAAGGAAGGAGCAAGACGTGGAGGCTATAAATTCCTGGAGATCCAGCTTCTCTTGTTAACCATTATCTGAACTTGCATGACCTGCATGTAAATTAAATCTTTGGTCTGAGGTTAAATGTTCAGTGAATGTAGTAATTCCAACATTTGAAACCAGCTACTCGTGCTCCTGGTGTTGCAAGTCTGACTAATTGGAATTGCTGCTCCTTGTGACAGATTAGTGAGAAACAACAGGGTATGGCATCCCAACATCCTGAAATTTAGTTTCAGCTTTTTTGAGAGCAAAATTTCCTCAGCCACCTAACATGGGAACAGAAAATAGGATGGGCGCTAAATTGGGTGGAGATCTGGCATCAGGGCTCTCCACCCTAATTCCCACAGACGTCTGTCTGATTACACTGAAACTTCAAGTAGATTGCAATAGAAAATTTTGGCTAATATCCACAGCCTTCCTTACCCCGATTCAAACTTCTGCAGTGTTTCTTGTGAATTTGTGGCTATTGCAACAATAAAAATGGATGACTTCACACTGGGTATGATCAACAAATTGAGGCACAAGGCAAGTGAAACATTTTTATCTGTTTTCCATTGATGCTCCAAATTTCTGTTCATGTTAGTTTGTATCGTCACAAATATAAAATTGTCTATGAAGCAATCAGATAACATCTTAGAATGTACTTGTTTTCCTTCCTTGCACTAACAAAATATTACATCCTAACATTAATAACTACTGCATTTTATTATGGAGGTGCTGGTCTTGAACTGGGGTGGACAAGGATGGTAGTCACATGACACCAGGTTATAGCCGAACAGGTTTATTTGAAATCATCAGCTTTTGGGGTGCTGCTACTTCGTCATCTGATGAAAGAGCGAGACTCCAAAAGCTTGTGATTTCAAATAAACCTGTTGGACTATAACCTGGTGTCATGTGACTTTTGGCATTTTATTAAAGCATGTCAAATTGGGTTTATCACTTAAAATTAATTATTAAAGCAAATTTTGTTTTCACAGAGTCCAGGATACAAGCATCAGCACTAAATGGGGGTCCAGAGGCTGTGCTCAATGGATAAGAAACCAGGGAGCTATTTCCTGGAGGTGGCTCTGTCTTTGAGCTCACCATGCAAGGCCTAAGAACAGCCAAGTTTCTGATGCTGTTGTCTCAGTCACAGAGCTGTGCAGCTTCAAACCCTTACCAGCCCGAACAGGTGAGGCACAGACTCTGTTACTTACTACTTACTTTTGTGAATTATAAGATAAACAACACCATAACATTCTAGTCATTAAGCAATGTCAATGTGCACATCATCACTGCAATTAGGAAAACATGAATAGATTAACAGGAGTGACTATGTCTAAGAAATTGCTATTGTCAGTTAATTTTTTTCTATTAACTCATGGGACGTGGGTGTCACTGGCAGTGCCAGCATTTCTTGCCCATCCCTAGTTGCCCTTGAGAAGGTGGTGGTGAGCTGCCTTCTTGAACCATTACAGTCCATGTGCTGTGGGTTGACCCACAATGCCCTTAGGGAGAGAATTCCAGGATTTTGACCCAGCGACACTGAAGGAACGGCAATATATGTCCAAGTCAGGGTGGTGAGTGTCTTGGTGGGGAAATTGCAGGAGTGGTGTTCCCATGAATCTGCTGCCTTTGTCCTTCTAGATGGAAGTGGTTGTAGGTTTGGAAGATGGTGTCTAAGGATCTTTGGTGAATTTCTGCCGTGCTCCTTGTAGATAGTACACACTGCTCCTACTGAGTGTCGGTGGTGGAGGGCGTGGATGCTTGTGGATGTCGTGCCAATCAAGCAGGGGCTGCTTTATCCTGGATGGCGTCAAGCTTCATGAGTGTTTTGGGTGCATTCATCCAGGCAATTGGGGAGCATTACTGGCATATTTCTGCAGCTCATGTTTTATTCCAAGGTTATTATGTTGTCAACAAGATCATCCCAATGATTATTGAAAATATTGCACCTTGCTTGAGACAGCCACTCCAGTCATGAATCATGAACGTCTACTGCCAATAATGATTCCCTAATGAACCTTTTAAATGACACAACAAGGTGCAGGGCTGGATGAACACAGCAGGCCAAGCAGCATCA